CACATGTTCCCTCCATGCTGCAGCTGTTTGACACACAGTGAAGAGCTCCTCTTCCTCTTTGTGTCCCACTACAGCTCAGAGACTCTGAGAGCTTCTCTCTGCAGCACAAACCAGGAAACACTTTGATACAAGACAAGAAGAGACAAAACCACAAACCCTCTGAGTCACAAGCTGCCAGCTGCAGAGATTAAACTGCTTCATACAACATCTGAAGCAGAGTTGGGCGGTATGACACTTTTATTTTATCAAGGTTCAAACTTGAGAGGGTTTTGTCCACCTCGACTCTCTCAGCTGTGATCACAAGCAGACTTAGATCTGGTCATTTCAAAACTGAACAGAGTACCAGACAAGGCTGTCCCTTGTGTCCATTGTTTTTTGCGCTAGCTATGGAGACTTTAGCCTCGACCTTTAGACAGGATGTGACTGTTAAAGGAATTTGTTTAAATAATCATAAGCATAAGATCTCGCTGTACGCGGATGACATTCTGATTTTTCTAGACTCTCCCACACAATTCATCCTTAAATTGATCAAATTTATTTATAGTTATGGCTCYTTCTCTGGTTATAAAATTACCAGATTGCCGGTTAACAAAAAATATTGACTTTTTTCATGGCCTTTTTTGTGCACATTTTCACCAAACACAACACACACCTTATCTCACAACACTCTCACTCAGTAAATATGACTGAGTGAGACATATGTATATACAGTATATCTGTTGTTCAGACTGATAATATGATGATTTTAAAGGAACAATAAAACACTTAACWARGTCTCATTTGGCAYCASTGCCTGGTACGTTACTGCAGTGGTTTCATGTAAACTGTGATTTTTGTGTATTCATCCCAGTAAACATTAGCTTAGACCGGTCTGGTGTAAACAGGGCCTTATAGTGACTGCTTCTCATGGTTGAACCGGATCTGATAAAAACTGATCTGGATCATAAACAGATCTATAGGGCTGTTCCTTTGAACTGAAACATAATAAACACAGGAAGAGTTTTTTCCCTGCACTGAGTCTGAACTCATTCTGGAACTATCAGGTCCAAAGTGTTTTATCGGGGTAGGGTGGGGGTGGGGGTGTTCTGGACTTGAGAACATGACTTCCTGCTCATCTTTAGCCCTGTCGTCTCCTGTAAGTAGAAACACTTTCTGTTTTATTTGACCTTTTTATACAGTGAAGATGATTTAAAATCTTTTTTACTGAAGGTTCTGGTTCCAACAGGCAGCAGCTCAAACATCAGAGACATCCAAGGTCAAAGGTCAACTGCTATATTTCCAAACAACATGAAAATAGGCTATCTTGCACTCRCACAGGTTGTTTAACTCAATTTTCCTTTTGTGTATTTCAAGCTGTTGTTAAAGGTAGCGCAACTGTGTTTGCTGCATGACCGGTTTCACCTGTTCCCCCATGTTTGTCTTGTATGTCTTCTTGAATGGGTGTGTCTTAACTGCCCCCTCCCCCGTTCCCTGATTGTACAGCACCCATCCATCCATCCATCCATCCATCCATC